ATAATTATATAAGTGATTACACTTATATAATTCTCATAAAGTTCTTTGTTTCAGGAGAGCAGTAAATGGAATTTACTATTTTGGATACATAACCCAACCCACTGCCACAGAGTCAATTCCTGCTCATAATGATCCTATAAGACAGAGTAGAACTACTCCTAAGAACTAGATCCTATGGGAACAAACTGCCTCATCTTTTTTCTTGAGGGACTAGGGGTTTGAACCACTGACCTTGAAATTTGTAGTCCAACGCTCGAGCTCCTTGTTGGACACGTTACATGCCATGGAGTTGGTTCCATAAAATTTCTAAGGATTTGAGCCACTGATCTTGTGATTAACAGTAAAGTGCTTATAAGGCAGTGCCGCACTAAAACTCTCGGGCCTCAATTCCTGTCAGTTTGATTTTTACCCTTGTACTTAACTCTGATAGCGTAGTGGTTAAGACTTGGGCTGCTAATCTCAGGGTCAGCTGTTCTTAAGGAGAAAGATGAGGCTTTCTGCTCCAGTAAAGATTTACAGCCTTGAAAACCCTGTACAGGGTCGATATGAGTTGGAACCGACTCCATGACACAAAACCACCACACTACCACCACTTAATTACCATACTAATGCAGTAATATACATTATCTTTGATTGCATAAGGGGAAAACCTTATATACAAGGTAACATTTAAAATTAACAGGTCAAGGAAGTTATTGTAAATTTCTAAACATGTTTGAAGTTGACTGAGTTCAAATAAAATGATTCAAATCTAAGCTATAATTTAGCCCTAAGAAGACTGGTTCTTTGGGGAATAGGTAGACTTGGATCTCTATTATTTTCTTGATTCATTCTCTCCATGTCTGCATTTGTTGATAATTAATAAGCATTTAAATATTCTTCACCATTTGTTGTTTGTTCTGTGCCATGGAGTTGGTTACACCTCGTAGTGACCCTATGAGTATAGAGTTTCCAAGTAGTGGCTCTTGGATTTGAACTTCTGTTGTTTGCAGTTCAAACCGACCTTGTCGCCCAGTGCTTACAGTGCCACAACAGGCACTGTACTTATTTTTTATGGTATTGGGCTTTATTAATTGAACATTAAGGATGGTGATGGCTCTGTAGGATAAGCACAGGACTGTGAACCACAAGGATGGTGGTTTGAACCCACCAGCTGCTCCTTGGGAGAAAGATGAGGTATTCTGCACCTGCAAAAATTTACTGGGTCCCTAGGAGTCAACTGGATGTCACTTAACCATTACTAAGCTAATACTGAATGTGGCACATAGCTGTTTTTTTTCCTGTATTGAGCTTAGGGGCAAGGAGAAGATGTGTCAGAATAAAGCCAAAATGTCACTGGCTTATTATCCAACTTGCCCATGTTGGCTTCAGGTGACTGGTTTCAATTCTAAATTCCCAGAAACATTAAAAGTATAGGGTCCTTTTGTATAAGGGAATAAAAGACAATCTATTTTGTTGAGGTTGAACGGGATGTCATTCATTCATACATGATTTTGTTAACTTTTATAAAGATTTTCATGCCCTTACCACTTGCTCCACTTCCTGATTGCCACTGAACCTCAACGAGATTATGGATTGATATGTTGTTGTTGTTAAGTGCTGTCAAGTCGGTTCCGACCCATAGGGACCCTGTATAGGGTTTCCGAGGAGCAGCTGGTAAACTTGAACTGCCGACCTTGCAGTTCAAAAGGCTTTGCAGTCTGGTGCATTAAGCCACAGCACTACAACCCATGATATAGTGGCTGCAATATAGCCCATATAGCCCATGATATAGTGGCTGCAATATATCAAACATAGCAGTTATAAGGATGATACAATTTTGGACTGCATTTTCCTCTGTAGTATATAGGGTTGCTTTGAATTGGGACCAACTGGATGGCACCTAACATTGCACAAATAGGCTGTGGTGTCAGTTCCAACTCATGGCAACCCTGTATAGGATGCCTGAGGCTGTAAATATATTCCAGAAAGCCTCATCTTCCACAGAGCGACTGGTAGATTTGAACAACTGACCTTTTGTGTAATAGCCCAGCTCGTAATCCACTACGCTACCAGGGCTCCTTTCACACAAGTGAAAAAGTGGGATTTTATAAGACAAATTTTCATGTACGTTTTTAGAGTTTAGTGCCTGGAATTTTGTCTAGCATACAATATCGTAGGTACTCATACTTGTTGAATAAAATATTGGCTTTGTTCAGTATTGCTTGGTTGGAAACTTGGAATGTTAATGAATGATACAATTAGAGTGAATTCTTAACCAGTATGGAAACATTAACGACCAGTCTTTGGGTCCTGAAGTCTTACCAAACCTATAATTTTTTTTGGTCTTAGTTGATTCTTTGAGTATATTTTTTACATGTACCTTAGATTTCAGGTCTTTTCATGAGCAAAACAGGTAAGTTGCTTGCATTAATGTATTATAAAATGTCACATTGTGGTGAGTGATATGAAAAAATAGTATGAAGGGACTTGAAAAGGTTTGTAGAAAAATTCCATGATCTTTTTAATTCCATTATCTAAACTTTTTGAAGCTTTCTTGTATTAATAACATTTTTTAAATACTAAGCGACATGTTACGATGGTGATTTTCAGTCCCATTTCAAACTAATTCTGAATAAGAAGGTTATATGCAGGTTGGGCAGTGTGAGTAACTTTTGTTTCACAGCCATCCTCGTGTGTGTGTAGTGCACTCACTGGCAGCAGACACTGTTGTTGTTATGTGCCATGGAGTCGGTTCCGACTCAAAGCGACCCTGTACAGGGTTTCCGAGGCTGTAAATGTTTACAGGAGCAGAAAGCCTCATCTTTCTCCCGCGGAACAGCTGGCAGTTTCGAACTGTTGACCTTGCGGTTTACAGCCTGATTTGTAACCACTACACTACCAGAGCTCCTTTCCAAGAGGTCGTGGTGGTGGTTAATGTGCCATGGAATCAGTTCCAAGTCATAGTGATACTGTATAGGGTTTCTGAAGCTGTAAATATTCATGGGAGCAGAAAG